GAGGCTCATATAAGTCCTTGCAGACTGATAAGTTCAAATACATACTTCAAATACATAGCCCATGTAAATACTCCTGGCAAGGATAACCATTAAAAGAGTGTAATTATCAATCACATAGCCTCACATAATTAAACATTTGACAAGCTTACTTAGATAAGATCTGACATATATGGATGAGTTTAACATATAAGTCAAAAGAGATGTCCCCAGAAGATAATAGTCTCAAGTCCTTAGTTCCAACCCATAGATTCAAGTGGATGGTCCAAGCCTGAAAAGGTTCAAGCAAAGGTATAAAATCAACTACAATTAATCGCTCCATCAAATGTAAGCAAAATAGTCTAAGTGTTCGTCCCTCCACTCTTATTCTGACTGCCTGTAGGATCAATCTTCCCTTTTTCCGAAAAGATGTCATGCAGGTCCACTACTTCCTGTAGCCTTTTCCATTGAAGTCACAGCTCGCTGTCCATCGCATCTGCTTATCGCCCTGTATGCCTAATTGAAACATATTACATGGGGCATATTTCACACTTCCATGGCTATAGAAGTTGAACAACCGTTTAGAACCCTCACTCAAGGATCACATTCCATGCTCATAAAGGCTTCCAACGTCCTTAGCCTAACTCTCCTCGAAGTCCCTCAATAACGTCTAACATCTTAGGCTCCCCGTACACATCTTCAACCTTATAGTGGTATTTCGCTGTACCCACATCTTTTGGGGGCATTTTGGCATATATCTCAACTTATAGTGGTATTTCACAAATAATGCCCCCCCCCAAAAAAATAAAAAAACGGCAGGGCTCATAGACTTAGTTGCAATCTTCTCGTGAAAAAATGTTATTGAAAAAAAAAAAACTTTATGACAGCAAAATGTATCAGAGCGACAATTCAACACATTTGTCATTTTTGTCATTCAACTGGTTCTCCACACTGTGCAATGTTAGGGTTTAGACACACGGACACATCATGACATGCTTGTTGTCTAAGATGGACTGGTTCCCCTTACCTTTTACCCAAGGTTTACCCACAAAAACATTTCCTGACGTGCCAGCTGCCTGAGATGGATTAGTTCCCTTTACCTTTTATTTTAGACCTATCCCCAAACTAGGACAAGGACCCCGTCTACCCCAACCGTCCCAACGTCAATCTCTTCGGGCAATCAATAACTAAAAATCTGCATGTGGGTTCAAAACCCGACTACGACCATTCGCAGCAAGCTTCAAAATATTAGTGTGTGTACGGGTGGGGGTGTGGGGGTGTGTGTGGGTGTGTGGGTGTGTGGGTGCGTGGGTGTGGGTGGGTGCATGGGTGCAAGGCCACCACTTTGCAGAACACATGCCTTGATGCTCGATTGTTTTATTTTTTTTTTCTTTTCTTTGTTGTTTCCTTTTTTCTTCCCTATATCGTTCCCTCTTTTTCTTTTTCGTTCCTTTCGACTCGTCGCCAAACTCACTTGACTCATGTCATTTCCTTTCTTTTTTTTCCTCTGTCGTTTCTTTTTTATTTTCCTCTATCGTTATCGCTTTCTGTTTTTGTGCCGCTTTCTTTTTTTTTCCTCTATCGTTTCTTTGTGAGGAACAAGCCCTCAAGGGCCCTATCAGACATCACATGTTCTAGGCTAAGGCCCCCTGCAAGCTGAGTGCCCGCCCTAAGTGAAGGCAGGCCTGAATATTCGTCAGAGACCAAAATTCGACCTTTTCATATGTGGGTATTTAGGCTCTCGCAGCACACAAGCTGGTTGGATAGACGTGTGAGCCTCACTAAGCTGTGTCATACAGTTGGCCCAGGCCTTGACAGTTGCGCCTGGGCACATACACACAAAGCAGGGCATACATTCGGAAACAGGCCGCCGGCCTTTGGAAAAGCAGTACTGCCTACGCACCGGCCTGGGAGCCCTGCACAGAGCACAGATGCAGCAAACAGCCCAAGTCCGGAGACTCAGGTCGTGCCCAACTGAAAACGGCCCAGACCTTCAACTATAGTCTCGGGCCTGGGCGCAGGGTCTGAGGCCCAACCGAAAGCTACAGGAAGCTTCCAGCCAGTCGACACGCTGCATCCAGGAGGCTGCCACTTCCATAAAAGAAGTGAGGCAGCCCAGTCCAGGCATTCTGGTCAGTGTTCGCAATGCGGAAGTGCTGTTGCGCTCTCGCTTGATGCTGCACTACTGCCAAAGGTGCTGACAGGGCGCGTAATGTTGAGGAGGGGCGCTGCAGGGCAGCGGGGCGCAGACAGCCATAGCCGGACTGTTGGGCGCCAGGGGGGTGCAGCAGGCGATCTGGTGATCTTCAGGGAAGGAGGCGAGTCTGGGGTAATCAAGGTCTAATTGAGGGTGACGAGATACATACCTGGTGCATGAAGAGAGGTCAGCTATGGAGTTGACAGTCATGTACATTGGTCTTCGAGAGTCGAAGTGAGCCTGTTGTGTGAACACAGCCGTAGGTAGGATAGTCGGGTAGAGTGGGCTGGGCGCTGGGCGCCAAACAGAGAGTAGCAACTTTGGATTCTGTGTTGGTGTGGCCTACGGGCTTGGACATTGACTCATTACTTTATTGTATTTCTCTATATGGATGGTTTTCTCGGTGCATTTGTACTCTCTGCTTTGACACGACTACTTGGACATCTGTGTGATTTCGCAACTTGGTTTTCCGTATATCGCTCACACTCATATTCCTAGCATCTTTTATTTTATATCGATGAATATTCTCTATTAATGAATCTTTTATTTTATATCGATTAATATTTTATATTACAATTAAATCAATCAATTCTAAAAGATTATGTTATTTTTATAAATGAAACAAAAAATGAAAATACTATTAAAGTAAAGTTTTTGTTATTGTGAATGAGTGGGCTGAGCAAAAGGCGATTGAAGGCCAAATCATTCTAGTAAGACATGCCAATGATTTGGTTGTTTCTTACAAGGCTGGAAGAGTTATTCAGGGCGCTCGAGGGTACCTGTTACAATAGCTCCAACCCCTGGGGTGAAGTCCCACTGCCCAAGTTTAAGTTTAGAAAACGCAACCGTGTGACACCATTTTGACATAAATAAATTCAAAACAAGAATTTCAAATTAGAAAACTGAAAAAAAAACTATAGAAACAACTTTTCTCCTTATTTTTTATTAAGTAACTCGGAGAAATGAAACACGTCTGGCACAGTCGGAGTGAATGTCTCCGTGAAAAAATGGGACTTCCTGTGGTGAGGGGACAGGAGGTCACCATTCGTAAAATGGGCAAGGACAACATGGATGGCCAGACGCGTTCATTGCCCAAAGAAGAAAGAGAGTTCGATGCCAGAGAGTCAAACACAGCTGTCAGAGTTCCTCCGTTTCAACATAGCTGTCAGAACTCCTCCGTTTCATGGTGTAATGATGTCTAAGAAAACAAAAAATCAAAAGGCACATAAGTTGAGAAATGTACCCTACCCTCGGTAGGGTAATTTTCTCAATGGAAAATGGTTTCCTGCCCAAACGGAAAGGGCCAAAGCATACAACAAAATGATTTCATGTCAAAGAAAAAATGTACAAAACGACCAAATCTAATAGGTTATTCTCCTGTATTTCGGTACCCTTAGATTCTCAATACATCAACGGCAGAGCTTCGTCCCACCATGCCACACGTGATAGAAAGCTCAGCGTTTAGAAAACTCAACTTCGAAGGTGGGACTTCACCCTTGGGTTTGCACATTGTGTCTGATCGAACTTGCATAGTCGTTAATACAAGTAGAGTAAATGACTTAGAATCTGGGTAATCCCACCAAATAACTTGAACACTCAGGCCCTAGTTGCACTACTTGCCATACGCCAAGTTTGGCAAGTAGGCGCCTGGTTGCACTTACTCGCCAAACTTGGCGAATGCAAAATGTGTCAGACGGCTCGCCACACCATCGACACAAGTTGTGGAGAGTGAATTCGGTTTCCCCGCCTGTGCACGGCGGTTTGTGGAGGGTGGTCCTTGGACCTCTCCACAAAACAACTTTTTGGAGAGTACAGGGCTTCACGAGTCGACATCAATTAGACAAAAAAAATAACTTTTCTGTAGAAGAAATGTAGTGGCGAGTAAGTGCAACCAGGCTTCGAGTTCGACACGATTCTCAGTTTTTTCACTCTCCACGCGTCCGCCACGAAATGTGATGGATGGCGAGTAGTGCAACTAGGCCCTCAATGACATATATATTGAGCTCGTAATGGTACTTCACAATGATCACAAACTGACACGAAGTTGTTCTTTATGCGACTATCAAAGGTTATTCAGATCTTTTCTCTATAGTTGTCGCTTTCTGTTTTCATGTCGTTTTTCCTTTTTTTTTTTTTTTTTTTTTTTTTTTAAGTACGTTATATTCGTCTCTCAAATCTTTCATCATCTTTCAAATTCTTTCAATTCATTTTTCACTACCTACCTACCTTTACTCCTAAGGCTTAGGGCGTCGTTCGACACACCTCCGCGCGTCCTCGGGCTCCGAGGACGAATCCTCGGAGCAATTTTTGATTTTCGGAGGTGTCGTTCCACCTGTCCTCGGAGAAATGCCCTGAGGAAGAATCCTCGGGGCCGGCCAGTTTAATGAGATTATACACAGCCGCAAGAGGAATGTCCGGCCTCCGATTTGGGATGTCCGTGTAGCAGTCGTGGTGGGCCAAAACGAGGACGGCGGGAAGACGTCACGGGCCCTTGGAAAATAAAACGCCAACGCGGGAAAATCCCCTTTCGAAATTCGAATTTGAATTTTGATGTTGCGGAGCGACGTGGTGGCGGCGCAGAGGCGGGTCGGCCAGGGGCCAGCCTACGCCGCGCAGGGTTTCGTTTGCCATCGCGTTGCGTATTTCAGCGGCGCCACACCGCCACTGCGTCAAGTGTGGTCGACGCGACGAAACGAAGACGACCGGTAGGCAGTCGCGTTCGCCACGTGCAAGCGCCGCGGCGGTGGGTGGACACCAGCGGTGGTGGGTGGACGCTCCAATCGGAATGGCGTCGTTGGGCCGGGCTGTCTTCTTGACGTGGTTGCAGGCGTCTTCAACCGTGGCGGCATACGTGCACGGAGGTGGGCGGTGGTGGGCGTCGTTTTTTGTCTACGAGGGATGTGATGGACGGTTGCGATGGCGATGGACCTGCTGTGCTGTCGACGACGGAGAAGACAGCACTCGCGGCGGCTGTGGTTGCCGTTGTCCGTCGTTTTCAAATCGAGAGTGCGGTCGGGCGCATGAAGGCAGCGCTTTCGAGGCGGCGGCAGAGGCTACTGCTGCAAAGGGTGTTGGACGCCCCGGACTGCATCAGCACATCCCAAGCCGTGGTTCAGCTGTGTGCTGCTATCGGGAGCAGTTTGCTTCCTCGGGCGACGCCACGTTGGTGGATGCGGCGGAGAGCTGGCGGGACTTGGGAGGATTTACAAGTTTACGATGACGCGACAGAGGACTACTTCCGGGAAAAGCTCCGCATGTCGAGGAGAGTGTTCATGGAGATCAGCGAAGCATGTGCGCCTCATGTGCAGCGGCAGGTGACGTTTTACAGGGAGCCACTACAGTCGGAGCAGATCGTCGCATACACGTTGTATAGGTGGGCCACAGGAGAGTCTTACGATAACAACACATCATCCTTCGGCGTGGGCAGGACTTCCAGAGTTCGAGCCGTGCGCGATGTGACAGCCGCCATTTTGAGGGTGTACGGGGAGAAGATATCGTGGCCGACGGGGGTGCGGAAACAAGTCGTCCTACGGGCTTTTCTGGACAAGGGCTTTCCAAATTGCCATGGCGCAGTGGACTGCACACACATCGAACGCGCCTAGCGAGAATTACTTCGATCGCAAGCACCATTTTTTCGTCATTGCGCAGGTTGTGGTGGACCTAGATCTGCGCGTTCTTGATGTGTTCGTGGGATATCCAGGTAGCTGCCACAACATTAGGGTGATCCAACTGTCAAGTCTGTCGAGGCGCGCGGAAGAGGGATTGCTGTTTCGTAAGCCGCCTGTGACGCTGTCAGGAGGGGTGACGACGAACAGATACATCTTGGGCGACAACGGGTATCCTCCTTCTGAGTGGGTGGTGGTGCCGTACGGAGGAATCAATCAGCACCCGGACGAGGAAAGGTTCGACGCGAAACAGAAGGTCGCAAGAGGGGTCGTGGAGAGGGCGTTCGGGAGGTTGAAAGGGATGTGGAGGCTCTTCCTGCGGACGCACAAGACGAACCTCGAGAGTCTGCTGCAGCAGTTCACGGCGGTATGCATTCTCCACAACATCCTGCTCCATGCAGGAATCGAGTTCGACGGGAATTTGTTGTGGGAGGTCGACGCGAACGGGGTGAGGCGGCGAGTGGACCTGGGGATTCATCGCCCCCCGCAGCCAGTGTCCATGTTGACTTCGACGCGCGAGGCTCATGCGCTCCGCAATGCACTGGCGCAGCGGATGAAACATGTTTGATCCACCCAGCCGCCTACCCGTTCGTCCCGTTGAAGTCGTGCCGTCGCAGTTGGATTCTTTTCAGGTGTTTGTTCTTCTATTCGACGACGCTGTATAGGTCCAGTTTGTCGCGCAGCGGGAGTGCGACGGGATCGCTGATGTAGTACTCGTCCTCTGCGTTCGTCTTTTCGTATTTCGGCTCTTCATTGTCCTAGTGGCTAAGAAGTTTGTTTTCCCTCGCAATGACGTGCAGTCCTCGATGGATGCGGTCCTTGTTTGATGGGGGTTCGGGGGGGGGGGGGGGGGGGGGGGGG